TGTATATAGAACGCAAGAATATAGAGTACCAATAAAGATGAAAGGATATGAGAGAAGATAGAGAAGATAGAGGATTACATGAAAATAGGGATGATGTCAGCTTGCGACATCACCCTAACACAGATGAAATGCTTTGTTGAAATCAGTTGTACCAACGATTAGGACCGGAAAACTTTGCCACACTAATTTATATGTAGCATCAGAACATAAGTGTGACGACATAGATATAATGTTGAGCAAATGTAAAGATGATATCAATATACGAAATTTATTGTCATCCTTTTCTTCTACATCTTCATCATCTTCATTATCATATAATATTTTGTAAGATACAACAAAAGCTTCGTTTTCATCAGTTGGAACATTTACATTATTTTGACACCATTTTTCTAATTCACCTAAGCTAATTTTATGCGAAATATATTTCTTTTTTTGCTTCAAGTGCTCACACGATTTGTTTTGGCTTCATTATACCATCCTTATATAAAATTCTTCTATGCACTTTTTAACATTTTCATCAATACCACGAACTGTGCCAATATGATGATTATGTTCAGCTTCAGTTTTATAAATGGTAACTTTATCATTATCTGCATGATATAGCAAAGAAATACTTAGACTGCATTGAGATCCACGAAGTTTGACTTTGTTGCATCTATAATAAAACATTCTTCCTTTTTCTGTATGATTTGTAGTGTTTTGACCATTTATCTATAATTGATGCTTCTGCTTCGCCAGCATTATCAAATGTACTTTCTTTAATCCAACATTTTGCCAATTTCTTTTTCTTTGGAATTCTTTTATTTCCATTTATTCCATCATTTTCTTCCGCGACCTCTTCATCTGATTTATCACTTTCACATTGCGCAACTTCTATGACTTCCATCTATTTTACTCGCTAAATATTAAGCTGAACGCGAAGAAAGAAACAAAGAGTACATGTATATAGGTCGTACTTGTCAGCTGTAAGACATATGGGCCAAAAGAGCAAAGAAGAAAAAAAATGAATCACCTTATAACACATTTCGATTTTTATACTGGCCCTTTAATTTAATTTACTGATCTTTTAAATATATC